GCCTCTGCGCACGCGGACGGTGACAAGAAGGACGGGGGCGCGGTGGCTGCCGACTGCAAGACGCAGTGAACGGCGCGCGGCCCAGCCGGCAGGCGCTGGGGAGCCCGGGCGCCGTGCCCCGCCTGCGTGCCCCAGGCGCAAAAGGGTCTCCCCGCTTTTTTGTGGCGGGCCCGCGGGCTCCTCGGGAGGCTCCTTGGAAGCCTCCAGGCCGTTTGGGGAGGCCCCCGTTGGCCGTTTTGGAAGGCCGCCCCCCGGGACCCCCACCCCACCCCAGCCGGCTACGCGGGAGAGGCGGCCCCCGTGCTGGACAGTTTAAGGCGATAGGTGAGAGCGGCCCTCACCATTCACATGAACGGTGGGGGGGTGAGGCGGGGCAAGCTCGGGCGTCTCGGATTCGAGCTTCGAGGTTTTGCTGGCGTTGTCGTCGGTTCTCGGATGCTTTCCAGCCTCGGGTGCTCTCCAGCAGCTGCGCCTCGCCGAGAGGGTGATGGCCCGAAAGCCAAGCGGCAGTGTCAGGGGAGGACAGGTTCAGAGGGGGAGGGAGGATGAGGGGCGGCCTCATGACAACGGTGTGCTTCGCACCCAGCGAGGAGGGTCGTTCCCCACATGTTTCGTGGGGTTTTGGTTTTTTCCCTGCCGCGCCGCACCCGCGTCTCACCTATTCCTCCTCCTCCTCCTCCTCCTCCTCCTCCTCCTCCTCCTCCTCCTCCTCCTCCTCCTCTCCCTCCTCTTCATTCCTCGCGTGGCACTTCCTCGACACCAGAGGGGGTGCGCTGGGGGTGGGGGCCCTATGCGTTTCGGGCTCGCAAAGCGTGGCAGGCGTGGCACTTCCTCGACACCAGAGGGGGTGCGCAGGGGGTGGTCTCTCACCGCGGCCGCTATCCGTGACGGTCGTCCTGGGCATAGCAGGCATGGCACATTCTCGACACCATAGGGGGTGCGCAAGGGGTGGTCTCTCACCGCAGGCCGCTATCCGTGACGTGACGGTCGTCCAGGGCACAGCAGGCATGGCATATACTCGACACCATAGGGAGTGCGCAGGGGGTGGTCTTTCACCGCGGCCGCTATCCGTGACGGTCGTCCTGGGCATAGCAGGCATGGCACGTCTCGGCACCATAGGGGGTGCGCAGGGGGTGGTCTCTCACCGCGGCCGCTATCCGTGACGGTCGTCCACGGCACAGCAGGCATGGCATATATTCGACACCGTAGGGGGTGCGCAGGGGGTGGTCTCTCACCGCGGCCGCTATCCGTGACGGTCGTCCTGGGCACAGCAGGCATGGCACATTCTCGACACCATAGGGGGTGCGCAAGGGGGGGTCTCTCACCGCGGCCGCTATCCGTGACGGTTGTCCAGGGCACAGCAGGCATGGCATATTCTCGACACCATAGGGAATGCGACAGGCGCGTGGAAACTGCACGAGACTAGAAAGAGTAGACCGACCGAGGGCAGAAAGGGAGGCAGGGGTGCGGGAGAACGCAGCATGAGGCGAGGGGGTGTGATTTGCACCAACTTCCACTGTGGGGCCCCTGACTGCTCGAGCTGTGGCAAATCGTTCTGCATCACCTCATTGGTCGTTGCGATCCCAGAAAACGGACTTCGGTGACCACCTCGAACTTGTTCCCGATGAAGGATAGAAAGCAGGGAAGAGGGAGGAGGTTCACTCAATAGTGTGTTGGATGACAATATAGGGCAACATTCGCGACGAGGGTTTAGAACGCAGGATTGCGCATATATGATAATGAAAAGCAAGCACATAATATTTAGATTAAGTATGTGGGGTTCCTCGGTAGCGTAATTTTCATTGTGATCATGTGGTGATCTCGCCTTCAAGTCCCAAACAATCTACACGGATGGAGGATGTCCCCGCCACCTCGCAAATTCCTAGTTTGGAACCGAATTTAGCAATTGCTAAGTTCGACCAAATTGGGAATACGCGAGGCGTTAAGACTTGAAGGGCTAAATTGCGCGATCCCCATAGGGATGGAGGACCGACTTGTTGCTTTTAAAAAACGACGCATCCGACCCTGCGCGCCGATCGATGGACACGGGTTTGATGGAGGTGCGTAGTGGTGTCCCTGTCTCGAAGGGCAGAGGGCGAAGACCAAGGGGAGACTGCAGGCAGGGAGCTGACAAAAAACAGCGAGGCAGCAGCGAGAGGAAACGGCAGCAGGAAGGGGGTGACGACGCGAGGAGGGCAGAGCAACGAGAGGGACCATGTTTCCATGCATGCCAACAAGCAGCTGTAGTCAGTGCAGGAACTGCGCGAGGCCAAACTGAAGTGCCATCTGCGTGGCCGCTCCCCGACATGCGTCAGCACGGGAGGTACAGGCGCGCAGGCGCATCGCAAGGTCCGCGGGCGGCCAGCGAGAAAGAAATTGCAACCCCAGGCCTTGAATCATCAGCAGATGGTGAACTTTGGTCGCCATGAGCACCAGGCGAACTCGGACCCACTTGAACTCGGACCCAGCTGAACTCCGACCCAAGCTGAATTCGGACCCAACTGAACTCGGACCCAAGCGCTGAAGCTGAATTCGGACCCAGCTGAGCTCGGACCCACCTGATCTCGGACCCGGCTGAACTCGGACCCAGGCCCGCGCTGCAGCGGGAACGCCTGGGTCCGAGTTCCGCTGGGTCCGAGTTCAGCCGGGTCCGAGATCAGATGGGTCTGAGATTCAGCCGGGTCCGAGTTCACCGGGGTCCGAGTTCAGCTGGGTCCGAGACCAGCCAGGGCCGAATTCAGCGGGTCCGAGACCAGCCGGGTCCGAATTCAGCTGGGTCCGAACTTCCGGGTCCGAGTTCAACCGGGTCCGTGTTCAGCCGTCGGCTGAATTCAGACCCACTCGCGCTCGAGGTTTCGCAGGCAAGCACCTGCGCGACGTCCCCGTGACCACCGGCGGTTTTGGAGGATGCGTATGGTAGGTGGCATTTGGCGCCTTGAGTTGGAGGTGGTGACGCATGTGCCTTGAGGTGGATGTACCGGTCCCACCCCCACTTTGGACCGTCTTCGTTGGCCGGGGGGCCGTAGGGGGGGGGGGGGGGGGGGCGAGTCTTCAGCCCCCTCCAGCGCCAATTGACGGCAGAGTTGACGGCTGATTGGTGGGGACGGGAACCAGATTGTATCGGCACCAGGTACGAACGAAACGTGCTACCCCCCAGGGCACAGCGAGGGCCCCGGGGACAGCCGCGCCCTGCCGAGAGCATTGCCGAGGATGGACAGGCAGACGTCGTGCCCGAGTCCAAAGCAGAAGACTCGATCGGCCACGCGGCTGGTGCACGAAAACTTGCATCACACATGCAACGCAGTCCTTTGCGATCCCCCAACGGGAAACTTGAAAAGACGGGTCGATGGGGCGCAGGACAAGGTCGCCCCGGCTGCGCCAGACAAGTCCCAGGACGAAGACGATGACGACGGAGACGGGCGAGAGGAAGGGGCAAGGATGGAAGAGGGGAGGAGCAGCGGAAGGGGGCAGGAGGGAGAGGGGGGCAGAAGATAACAAAGGTCAGCCCCATCCAGCGTTCGTGGCGCAGTCGGCGGCTCCGCCGTGGAAGGGACGGCTGGCGTCATGGATGGCGTTGTCTCGAGACCCCTCTCCCGCCCGCAGCACAGGGGGACCGCGGCGGGAAAAAACACACAGCCAAAAAGGGCGACAAGAGGAGGGGCAGGACGAGGGGGGGGACAGGGCGAAGGGGCAGGACGAAGGAGCTAGATAAGGTGGTTGCTGATCTTGCCCAGTGGTCGTATTTGCCGCAGGCGCCCACACAATGCAGAAAGAACCCTTGATGCCCGAAGATCCTGATGCCTGAAGATTCCTTGACGCATCCACAAACGATGCTCAGGCGAGTTGCCTTGACAAGGGAAGCGGAGGAGCATGCAGTGGATCAAGCTGGGGAAGCCGTCAAACTGAGGTCTTAGATCAGCCTGCGCAGACCTAGGAGCGAACCGTATGTGCCTTCGCGGTCCAGCCGAATGAGGAAAGGCGTGGAAGAAGGACGAGGGAGACGAGGAGGAGGAGGAGGCGGACGAGAATCAAGTGGAGGAGGACGAGGACGAGGAGGAGGAGGAGGCGGAGGAGGAGGAGCAGCAGGAGGAGGAGAAGAAAACGTGGGGGAGAGGGAGGACTGGGGAGGCAGGGGGAGAAATAGGCGGATGAAAAAGAGGAGTTAGCGGAGGAGGCGGAGGAGGAGAAAGAGGAGGAGGAGGAGGAGGAGGAGGGGGAGGAGGAGGAGGACGAGGAGAAGGAGGAGGAGGAGGAGGAGGAGAAGGCGGAGGAGGAGGAGGAGGAGGAAGAGGAGGAGGAGGAGGAAGAGGACAATGACGAGCTTGGGGGCTTCTTGGGGCGTCTTGGGGGCCTCCTGGCGGTCCCGGAAGCCTCTTGGAGCGTCTTGGGTGGCTCGGGGAGCCTCCTGGGGCCCCTTGGGGGTCTCTTCGGAGCCTCTTGGAGGCCTCGTGGGCGCCTCTTGGGACCTCCTGGGCGCCTCTTGGGGCCCTCTTGAAGCGCTTTTGGGAGCCTTGGGAGCGCCCTTGGGGCCATCTTGGAGGAGATCGGTCAAAGAAGGGTGGTCGCTTCAGTTACGCCCCCCCCCTCTGGAGCCCCACAAGTCGCCTCTTGGACCCCTCTCCGAGCGCTCTTGAGGCGCTCTTGGGCGCTCTTGGGGCCGTCTTGGGGCACTCTTGGGCCTCTTTTAGGGGCCCTCTTGGGCCATCTTGGAGCCATCTTGAGGCCTCGGAAGACCATCGAAAGCAAAAAGGCGAGAGAGCGAAATTCATTGATTCCCCTTTGGCTTTGGAAAGAATTTGGCCTCTTGGCGGCTCCCGGGGAAAGCTGGGTGGCCATTCGGAGCCGTCTTGGAGCGGTCTTGGGGCTTCTCGGAGCATCTTGGGGGCCATGTTGGGCTATCTTGGGCCGTATTGAAACGCATCTTGGGCTCTCCTGATGCCTTCTTGGAACCGTCTTGGGCCATCTTAGATGCTCTGACCGCTCGCGACCCCCCCTCCAGGTCCAGGAGAGGGGGTAGGGGGAGGGGTCGAGCTACCCACCCGCCCGCAAGCCGTCTTGCTCACTCCCACCCGCCCTCCCAACACATAAGTAACACCCGAGCCTCAGCATGGTCAGCGGTCGTCTTTGGATGGGCAGCTACT